TGTTGATTTGTTTTTGCCTCTGCTGCCTGGGCGGCCACAGGGGTAGCCTCAGATGACTGTGGGGCAGAAGAATATGGATAGGGGAACATAAGGTGTGGGTACGGAGAATTCGTACACATGACTATAATCTTAATGTAGCAATGAAGAATCTATAAGGAAGTCCTCTTATATCCTTGAGTCTGAACTATTTGAATGAATTTTTCTTGTGACCTGGAGTCTTGGTCTTTGGCGCTCTCTCTTACTCTTCCCCTTTCTGTCTCTGAGAGTGCTATTCAGAATTCTGCTTTCACCGCAGCCAAAGGCAAAGGAGAGAGGAATCAGTACACGCAGCTAATTGATCTGCTTCTCCTCCGTTTGTCCTCATTCCAATTCGATTCCACTTCAGGGGATATGTGCAGACTTCCCACGAGGTCCGGCGTCCCTGCCCTCCCCCGCTCCCAGGGCTTCGCTGCAGGGTGCACGCTGCGGAGAAGAGCTTCCCACTGTGATACAGATGGCGGCTCCCTCCCAGCGCGCCCTGCTCCCATGCACAGCAGGTCTGGATACAGCAGGGAGCAGCCAAGGAACATTCTGCATTTCCTTATCTCCCAGCAAACTTGAGTTCTAATAAGTTGGCATTTAAACCCAAGGACTGAACATTCACATTTAGATGGAGAGTTGGAGCTTAGATCATGCATTATTTGTTGGTGACATAGGCAAAGCACCTCAAAGTTCCATCTGGAACTCATGTCCTTATTGATGCTGAATTGCTAGGGAGTCAACGTGAAGGAAAGCTGTTTACACCAGCCTAATGGTTATGTTGACTGGAAACACCAGCCAGCCCAGTAAAAGGGAGCACCCCCCATACTTTATTTTCAGCATAAAGTGTGAGCTCCAGTTTTGATCACAAGTGTGTGTGTGTGTGTGTGTGTGTGTGTGTGTGTGTGTTTTCACATACCTGTGTAGGTGCACCCATGCAGCACTCACATGTAATTTATCCAAAATGGTGGTTGTATTATGCAGAACTTCCTCGGTGCAAATACAGAACCAAAGGGAACCAGCTCATCCAATCAAGGGGTTTTCATTTGTGGTCAGTCCAGGTGTTATAATATGATTAGAATTTTCCCTTCCTCCCAATTTTTTTTTTAAAGTCCTGGCTTTCTATATCTCACCACAGATTGATCTTTTCCACGTGATGGAATGCACACTGCAGGTGGCCCCAGAACTGGACATTTTGCAGCTTCGGCCACGGGACAGGGACGTCTGCTCTCACCCTGGTTTCCAGGGAAGGGCATGCAGGCTGCCAGCTCTCACTGAGGCACAGGGTCGTGTGAGAACGGGTGCCCGAGGGCTCCCAGAGCGGATGTGGGGGAGAAGGAATTCTTACAGGAAGGGGGAATGTGGTTCCCCAAAGGAGAGGGTGGTGCCCACAGGTTCCCAGCAGACAAGGTGTCTGCTGGTGGTGTTCTTACACATTCCTGAGGACTTACCTCAAATGCACGTCTATTTTAAATCACTTGGCAGACTTAACTGTAATCTTAGATTTTTTTTTCCTTCCTGCTTCTTGTCAACGACAAGCTTTAATTATAATTACTCTTCGGTAGGCATGTTCTAGCACTTCTGATTCGTTTATCAAATTGAGCTTAACACAGTTACAAAGTCTAGGGAGAGCCCATCTTGAAGACCACAGAAGGCTCAGCTGTCATTTCGGTAATCCAGTCTCTGTGGCCAGGATTCTGTTCAGCTCTCCTCCATCTCCCTGAGCTCTCAGAAACAGTAAGACTCCTGCCCTTCAGCAGATATTTGGGAACACTGCACAGGTGAGAGAGTCCAGCTTTCTCATCTCCATCTAGGTAAGTGGTCTTCACCACAAACACATTTGGGCTTTGGGCATTGACTTCCATACTTCGTGTTTTAAGATTTAAAAAAAATATATTTTTTTTATTGATTTTCACAGAGAGGATGAGAGAGGGATAGAGAGTCAGAAACATCGATGAGAGAGAATCATCAATCAGCTGCCTCTTGCATACTCCCTACTGGGGATGTGCCCGCAACCAAGGTACATGCCCTTGACCGAATGGAACCTGGGACCTTTCAGTCCGCAGGCCGATGCTCTATCCACTGAGCCAAACCGGTTTCAGCTGTTTTAAGATTTGAGTTCATTTTCAGCTGATCCAGTAAAAGCAAAGTTCTTGATCATCCTGTGTTTTGCACAACTGTCATTGCCCACGCCCTCTACGTATCTGTGTCCAACCCTGCCGTTTGCCAGAATTTAGGATTAAGTGAGAAGACTCTGCAGTCCAGACAGGCCCCCCAATGACTGTCATTTTCATGGGAACAGCGGAAGGCATGGCAATTATAATGGAACCTGCAGGCTGGGGAGAGTAGAAGTACGAAAATGAGTTCGTGTGAGAAGCCAATTTCTCACCCTCCAATGAAACCAGAGAGGACAGGTGATCCCAGAGTCTGCTGCCAGCTGGGATCTGACCGTCTTGCCTGTGGGGCGGGCGTATCTTGGCATTTTGGGCACAGGTGTGTTTGCCAGCTTGCTCGGTTTGCCAGAGCTGCCCAGATAACTGTCCTTGTAATTCAGAGAGCTCTGAGTGTGCAACCATGGAGGAGTGGGGACAATCTGATCTTTTTTTAAATTTTATTTTAAAATTTTTATTGACTTTAGAGAGAAAGGGAAAGAGAGATAGAAACATCAACAATGAGAGAGAATCATTGACTGCTGCCTCCTGCATGTCCGCACTAGGGTCTGAGCTCACAACCCAGGCATGTGCCCTCATCGGGAATTGAACCGTGACCTCCTGGTTTATATATAAGTCGACGCTCAACCCCTAAGCCACGCTGTCCAGGTGAACAATCTGATCTTTGTGCACTCTTGAGTGTGAATCCCAACTTAAAAAAGCCTATTAAAAATGGATGAAATCATGGAATAGTCTTAACATTGGAAGGAACTTAGAAGTCAGTAAGTCCCAGATTCCGATCCAAGGTGGGAACCGGTCCTGGAGCCCCTCCGATGGAGGTTCCCAGCTCGGTCCCGAGGGGAAGCCGTGGCTCACAGGTGGCCCCTCTCACCGTGGCTGGGACGTGCTGGTATTTCTAGCCTCTGGTGGTGGAACTCTCCCTGTCTCTCCGCCTCTGCTGCCTCTTCTTTTTGGTGCCAAGGAAACTGAACTGACTCTTCCCACAATGAAGTTGACTTTTAAAAATTTAAGACTGTTATCTTGTACCCCCAAAGGCCGCGGTGCCCTGGCTAGGGAGGTCTAACACCCAATGCCTGAGTTTAAAGAAGGGCATTCTGACAGGCAAGGTTATCTCCAGCACTGGGTCCTCAGCACCTTCGCTTAGATTCTGTGTGACTTTTCTTAGCATCATTTGTGTGAAGAATTGGCCATTGTATTTTTGTATCTTACCACCCCCCACCCCCACCACCAGCATTCAGAGCTCAAAACTAGGAAATTCTAAGAACACAAGATTGTATTAAAACCCTGGTCTCTGCATCCTGGTGAAGGGTGTGGTTGTCTTTTGTGATGTCACCCCAGAAGTCAGCGAGTCCACCCTACATTCCTATGTGCTTTCATAATCTCTCAACCCTTCATCTGTGATTTATTTGAAGCATTGGCCGTTTTCATCTGTTCTAGATTGATAGCCTGTTATTGTTCTTAAGGTGTTGCTCCCCTAGCCCCTAGCACACACCATACTCTTGTCCAAACGTCCCTCCTGCCTTAAAAGGGGCAAACACAGCTCCCAGAGTCAGGTATTGATCAGTGCTGACTGGGACGTGCTGGGATGCAAGTACTTGGCTCCCACTGATAGAATAAGAGTTTGTGATAGATTGTGAGGCAGACAATCTTTTCCGGGTCCAAAACAATAGCTGTAAGACCGTCAGTGAGTCACCAAACCTCTCCAGGCTCCATTTTCCTCAAAGTATAAAATCACATGAATACTTTGTATTCTTCTGGGTTATTGCGAATGCTGTGAAAACAAGTTATTTAATATTAAGACTGTATAGCAAACTATACCATGACATACGGTGGGGATTTTGAGAGTTCAAAAATAACGTAAAAGAAAATATGGATGATGATATGGGGTATTTAGGACTCACATACATCCAGTTTCAAAATAACAGTAGTTGGTGTCTATAGGAAGGAATAGTACATTTGTACCTTGTAATTTAGAGGGAAAATAATCTCATAATTTCTAACACAGTTTTTGGGTGATCTGTGACGTGGTCCCATTAAGGCGGAAAGGCTTTCAGGAAGGAAATGGCATTGTTTGGGGAGAAATGAAATCACTCTTGGTTCCCACAGGAGAATAAAAGGGTTGAAACGCAAGGAGAGGCTGTTGATTTGTAAATCGTTTAAATCCCAGTTCTCAGCTTTGAGGACCTGAGCCTGACGGGGTCTCCTGGGAAGCTCCAGGGTGGATCCTGTGGTGCAGTGTTTCCCTGGGAAACTTCCAGAGGCTCGTGTCTGGGTCTGGCCGCTGTGTGAGGATGAGATGTCCCTGTTTCCTGAGAAATGCCAAGGGCTCAAAGCAGGCACTTGTCCGATCCCCATGTCCTGGGACTTAAGGTGTTCTTCTTTTTCCTCCCCCTTTAAAAAGTGTTATCTTTAAATCACAGTTTACAGGCAGTATGACTTTGTGTTAGTTTCAGGTGTACAGGGGGCGTTTTTCTCACACACCTGCTTTGTACCACAGACCGCTAATGTGTGGGGACAGCGGAAGCAGAGGTAATTTCCACATCTCCATGCAAGGTCTGACAGTGGTTTCCTGGGGTCATTTCTTTGCTTTCTATAGTGTCACTTACAACATGAACCCGTCTAGACGTGGAAAGAAAGTAGTTTTCTGTGCTTTGCTGTTGTTTTTGCAATGACTCAAGTATTAATCACAGCAAATCATCCCGTGGCCTCTGCCGTTTTTCTTCGGAGGGGAAGGATGGTCGCAGTGACCTTTTCACGGTGGAGCACTAACCCTGCACCCGGTGCTCTTTGTGTGTTCTTCTCCGCCCCCAGGGAGTTCTGTCCAACATCTCCTCCATCACCGACCTCGGCGGCTTCGACCCTGTCTGGCTCTTCCTGGTGGTGGGAGGAGTGATGTTCATTTTGGGATTTGCAGGGTGCATTGGAGCTCTACGGGAAAACACTTTCCTCCTCAAGTTTGTAAGTATCCCCCTCCGCTCGTGGTGCAAGCCAAGCACGCCCCCATCGGGAGGACTCGGTCTTTAGACGAGAGGAAAGGGTGCTGCCCCGAAAACGCTGGCAGAAATACAGCCCAGGCCATGCTTTTCTGTAAGAGAGCCCTCCATTCTGCCCCTGCCCATGCCTCCTTAACTATATATACACCATCTCCACCCCATGGCATCCGCAGGGGAGTTACACACGTAGTCACGGCTGCTTTCCCATCCCTGAATTACCTTTGGGACCGAGGTGGTTCTGTAGACATCGTTTTCTTCTTTTAAGTGACTCGTGCTTTCCCTTTTGAGCACACAATCAGAAGGAAGTTGTTCAGCGGGTTGGTTTAGAGAAACCAGACATAAGCCCCGTGGCTGTGGCCTGTGCAGATTAAATCTGCTAAGCAGCAGGTTTGGGTGACTATGGAGAAACAGTGAAAGGCAACATCTGCAGCATCCTTTTCAGATCCCGTGCAGGGTGCTGTGATCGCTGTTGGCATGAGTGCATTCGGGAGAGGAGTTTCTCCCCAGGGGCAGGTGGTGTTATAAAGAGAGCGTGAACAGTGACACCTTCCTTTGGAGATGCCTGCCCAAGGAGAGCAGGATGGCTTATGTGCATGTGTGTGTGTGTGTGTGTGTGTGTGTGTGTGTGTGAGAGAGAGAGAGAGAGAGAGAGAGAGAGAGAGAGAGTGTGAGAGAGAGAGAGAGAGAGATAGGGTCGGTGAGTGAGGCCAAAGCTCATTGAATGTGCCTGTTTGTGGGCATTTGGTGTCGGCCATATCACAGCCCTCCACATGACAATATCCACTCCACTCTCCTTTCCAAAAATAGAAAGTATGGGGGTGGGGAGGAAACCTACCCTCCTGTGATGAGGGGAGATGGTTAGATTTCTAGAGAATAGTGTAAGTTTAATATCACTAATCTCAACGTTTATGACACAGTGTCATTGAGGACCATTGTCATTCAAACAGGAGCTTCCACCAGGACTAGTCCCAACTGCCATGCAGAAGGCGATTCTCTCCCCAGCACATCTGCCACATTGTCCTCTGGCATTTTTTTTTTTTTTTCTTTTCTTTTTAATATACTTTTTTTTTATTTATTTTTTTACAAAGAGGAAGGGAGAGGGATAGAGAGTTAAAAACATCAATGAAAGAAACATCCATCAGCTGCCTCTTGCACAGCCCCTAGTGGGGATATGCCCACTACCTAGGTACATGCCCTTGATTTGGAATCGAACCCGGAACCCTTCAGTCCGCAGGCCAATGCTCTATCCATTGAGCCAAACCGGTCAGGGCGGCATTTTTTCTTGCACATCCCCAAGAAGAGCAGGCTCCCTGTCCTTACATTGGGCAGCTCTGGCCCAGACAAGGTCTGGAGGCTGTTTCACCGGGAAGTTCATAGGACTCGCGCTGACAGGGAAAAACCAAGGGAGACTTGGTCCGGGTGCAATTTAATGAGCCATTGGGTCTCTGTTCTGTATACATGGGTCTCTGGTGGAAGGAGCTCATTTCCCAAACTCTATTTCTCTTGCATCCACTTACCCACAATCCTATTCCCCACCGAGTCAAAGGCCTACAGAGGCCCCAGGAAGGTTTTGTCCCTGATAGCAACCTGCCAGTCCTCTTGGTGTGCGGTATTTCTAAAGCCTGAGCACACCTCCCTCAGCTCTTCTGTAGCCTATTTTGGGCTTCATCGTACTTGCTGATTGCCACTATTTTATCATTTTTAGCCTTCATGCCCCCAAATGATTCACTTTAATCATATTTGTTTATAAGGGTAGTCCCTTTATCACTTTTATAGATGAAGCTACTAGAGTTAACTTGCATAGGCAGAGAATTACACATTTCTCTAAGTTATCACCTTAAATTATAAAGTCCCATGTTGCAAATAAAGAGAATTATGTTGTTTTCTGGCTTTTTTAAGTCTTGGGGAATATTTTAAATGGCCTCTTTCTCCATTTAGTACATGCGGTAAAAACTGGCCTAGAATAGTCTTTGAAATAAGTAGGAAGTCAATGGCATCATCATTCCAGACAGCCTCCACCATCTGATGCTGTAAGGCCAGGAGAATTGCTGGGGGGAATCCAAGAGCTGAGCTACCGTGACATAGAAATGGAGCCTTCTCGTGGAATGAGGCCCTAGAACGAAGCCTGTGAGTCCATCTCTTCCCCTTAGGAAATGGAGAAATTTGCTCACAGGGCCCATTTCTGCCACATTTCGATAAGAATTTAATTTGGACTCAATTTTTGATATGCGTATTGTATAGTATTATGTGGAAATTTGCCAGGGTAACGAGAAATGAACCTGCCTAGCCTTTGTAAAGGTGAAGATGAAAACTTAATTAGAACTTTTGCATGACTTAGGTCTTATTGTTTGTGTGTGCACACACATGAGGTAGCTATGATGTTCTCATTTCTGTAGTGTCATGACTGTCATGTAGGGAGGTACCTAATAAAGGGAGGGGAGTTGTTTTATGCTACGCCAGGGGTCGGCACACCTTGGCTTGTGAGCCACATGTGGCTCTTTGGCCCCTTGAGTGTTCTAACGCCACTTCTTCAAAACAGACTCTCCCAGGCTGAAAACCGACTTCTGCGCATGGGCCACGAAGTTTCAATCTCACTGTACGTGCATGCCCGCACATGGTGTTTTGTGGAAGAGCCACACTCAAGGGGCCAAAGAGCCGCATGTGGTTTGCCAACCACTGTGCTAAGCTATCGGGTGGCCATTGCATAAAAGTGATAGGCTTCCCCTCCCCCACAAGTGTGAGCATTTAATGAACTTCCTCTGTGTGGCTTCAAGCCACCAGGACACAGACTCCCCTCCCCCAACACCTTCATCTTCTCCTCTGCTCTTCTCTGACGAACTTGGCCTTCATGATGATAGGCTGTTTGGGGAGCTTTCCCCGCCCTAGAACTTTGTAGCGGCTGGATTGCACCACGTAAGTGAAAGGAGCACCTCCGGGACTGTCCGCTGACCCAAGTCCGCAGTTTATCATGGTCAACAGCTGGGCCGAGCTCTGGTTCCCCTTTCAGTGGTGATCCTCGTACCAACTTCCCAAAGGGCCCTGGGCCACAGTTGTCGAAGCTGATCCTGTGATGATGCAAGCCTACCCCCCCACCCACTTCCTGTGCTTGCCGAGCAGCCGTGGCCCTGAAGCTTCCGGGTCTTCCTCACTCATGATGGCATGCTGGTGCCTGAGATGCAAGAGCAAAAGTGACCATTTTCCTGTCCTTTTCCTAGATTGAGGAAAGCTCCCTTTGAAGTTACCGGTACCAGTGATGATAATGAACTCGTTAGGTTCTATTGCTAGTGAGCTCTAGGGCAGATAAGCAGGAGCTCTGACCCTGAGGGCTGAGCTGGAGGGCCTTGAATGGGGCCTGAACCTTGGGATCCTAGACTTTGCCAGGCGCTTATTTCTTCCTCCCACCCTCCCCTTATGCCCACCCTCTCAGAGCAGCGCCTGGCAGCCTGGGCAACACTGTCAGACACACACTGTGATATGGCCCCCTCACACACACACACACACACACACACACACCACCCCCCCCCTTACTGTAAGAGGCTCTTTGGAGACAGGGTATGGGCCCACTCATCCTTGTTTCTGTAAACCCCACCCACCCAGCTCAGGGCCTGACCTCTTCCAGGTCATTCAGTCTATGCTTGTTGGATGAATACACATTTTTAGTCTTTTTGTTTATTTGTTTGTTTGGTTTTTATTAATTTTCACCAGAGGATATTTTTTCCATTGATTTTTTTTTATTTTTTTTTTATTTATTTTTTTATTTTTTTTAGAATAAAAAGGAGTAGGGAGGTGGAGAGAGAAACATCTATGTGAGACAGATTCATCTGTCGGTTGCCTCCAGCACAAGGCTCGATCGCTGGGGCCTGGGGTCGAACCCGAAACCCAGGCACATGCCCTTGACTGGGAATGGAACGCAAGACCCTTCAGGGCTTGGGCCGACGTTCCAAGCACTGAGCCAACACAGGCCAGGGCCGTTTTTTAGCCTTTTCCTCTGTGCCCGCCCCCACGAGGTGTGCTCCCGGTTGGCCGCTTGAGGGCAGCCTGCGGAACGTAGACTCAACAGCAGCTCTGGCCCCTCAGCCTCCTCCCTCGGCCGCCCCAGTCCTGCAGCCTCTGGAGCTCTGCTGACAGGGGTGTCGCCTTTCTGTCCTCATCACGAGAAGTTTGCCTGCAGTTTGTACACTGCTCCGTCACAGCCTCATTTCTCAGAAACTCTTTGAACCAATTAAAATGGAAAAGGGTAAGAGCGTGGAGGCTGGAGGAAGTGGAAAGAACTGGAGGTGTGAAGGTACGTGGTATGACTAAGGCGAGGCTCTGCTGAGTGTTCTAGACGGAAGGGAATCTTCTCCGGTTCGCGGGCCGTTCCCACGTTACCCGGGGCCTCCCACCTGCCCGTGGCCGGTCCTCTGCACGCTGATGTTATTTAAAACATTCTAGGCTGGCGCTTCACAGAGAAAAGCGGTTTTGTTTTATTTTCTTGGTGGGGAATTATTTTCATGGCGCAGTCACCCCCCAACTTCCCCTCTGCTCTTTTCATCTAAGATACACATGTGTGCTGCTTTACCCGGGGGAGCAGGTGCAGAGGGGAATCGGGGCAGTGTCTGAATCCATAAAAGGAACATATAGCGTACAGGAGGATCCAGGCCACAGTCACACATGACAGGTGATCTTTAAATATCGGGGTGATTTATTTCTCAGTGCTGCAAAAGCTTGCTGGAGGAAGGGCCAGGCCATTGTTGAGCGCCTGGCAGGCAGCGCATTAATCAGGAGAAATTCGTTAGGCCTTCATGTGACGCTAATGAGAAATCCCTATCATCATGTGTTTGCTTGTGAGCTTTGTTGGTTAATTGCCAAATGGAGCCACCGGGGCCCCAAAATGTGATTATGAAATGATTTTTTTTTTGAAAGTCCTTTCTTGGAGTGTAATATTTTATTAATGAACTTTAAGGAACGGAAAGTTTGGACGTGTGGAACCACCCAGCGTAATTACAAACCTTTTTAGAAGGAGCCATTGAACTGTGTAACGGCTCTCCGTGTCTGTGTCTCTTGTCTTAGTTCTCTGTGTTCCTGGGCATCATTTTCTTCCTGGAGCTCACTGCCGGGGTGCTGGCATTCGTTTTCAAAGACTGGATCAAAGACCAGCTGTACTTCTTCATAAACAACAACATCCGAGCGTACAGGGATGACATTGACTTGCAAAACCTCATAGACTTCACCCAGGAATATGTAAGTGGGAACTCGGTTTCTTTTCAAGTTGAAAGCCTCCTGGGAAGGATGGCCCCAGAGGGCATCCTCCTGGCTCCGCACCTGCCAGCTGGGACGCCCCTCTGGCGGGCCCGCGCGGCTTTTGGTTTGTTCACTTGTCTGTGTATTCTTCTCTGACGTGTTCTGTGGCCTACACGATCTGTGCTTCTCATGGAAGTGCCCTGTTTTCCCTTAATCTTCATTCCTGCCCAGAGCAGCAAAGAAGAAAACTCTTGAGCAAGAAGGTTCTGATCACAGTTGCCCTTTGCTGCCGACCTGGGAAGAAGATTGCTTTGCTACAGGTTTAACATCTCATTGGGCGTTAAATGTGGATTCCGCCTTGTCCCTTGCCCAATTCTAGTCACCCTCCACACTTCACAGCTCAGAATAGCATCCTCAGGAGGAGGGTAATTCCCGGGCATATACCTATTCTGTACTATTACAGCACGCACGCACGCGCGGGTTAAACCCAAAGTTGAGCAAGTTTTACCCCCACGTGGCCTCTGCCAACTGGAGAATCGGTGCGGAGTGCCCCTCCCACCCGGTTTCTGAACATTTCTCTGGGGCGCCGCCCCTGCACGGCAAACGAAGCAGCAGACCCCCGTTCCGCTCAGAATGCAAAATGACATCTAAACAGGGCTCAGAACATACAGATCTGGTGCCCAAACCCAAGCAGCTCCGCGACTTTGGGTAATAGGACCTTGGCCTGCTTCCCCAACAGGAACGTGGAAATAGTAAAAGCTGCCGTTTAACTCGTGGAGATTCGGTGACACTCGAGTAAGATGTGCTTGGTGGCTTCGCAGCAGGCGTAAGATGCTGAGGTCCTGCACTCGGGCAGGCGCTTCTTGGCAGACACTCCACCAATCGGCTAAGCCGCGCAGCCCCGGACAGTGGTGTCCGTGATGCTGATGCATATGGAGGAGGAGCTGAGTCCCTTTGAGAGAGGGAGGAGCGGGCTGTGTCAGCTTATCCGAGACACACACACACACACACACACACAAAATCTCACACACACACACACACACACACACACACACCAGGCCCTCAGAATGGAGCAAGCTGGCTTAATTTTGTGCCATGGCAGCAAGGCCTGCCCTGGAGTGAGCGGCAGTGGGGCGTGAAATGAAGCCCCCTGTCATCTCCTCCGTGGCCCTCCCTGCTTTGTTAGGTCACAATGGATGCAGGCCCATGCCTTGCCAAGTATCACTGCTGCCTCGTCTGCATGACAGTGCTGATGGAGCTCTGCAGCCAACTCTGGGATGCGCAGCCCAGGCCCTCAGAGAACCCGATGAGGCGGACGAACATGCGAACACACGTTCTCTTGAAGTGCTGTTTGCTTTGCGGGGAAATGCTATCGTTTCATGTGATTTTTTCCTTTTCTGTTGTGGAGCTGATTGTTCTGAAGTAGCTGCTGGTCCTAGAAGCCGTCCAGTGTCATGGCTGGATGTTTAACTGGGAGAAGTGGAGCTAGTCCACGGGGGAGGAGACAAGGGGCCCAGCCTCTGAGTCAGGCCCCTCGGAAGACCCACGGAATTTAACATGATTATATTTTAATTAGACGATTGCATTCTTAAGTAATTTTCTGAAAATGTAAACACCTGCTCTTATGTAAACAGATTCCAAGCACTAACAGATACGTAATGAAAAGTCAGCCTCTAAAACTTAGGGGGGTAATGGGTGTGCTCACAATTTTGATGGTGGTGATGGTCCCATGTTGTTTACATATGTAAAACAATGATCCAGTTGAACACTTTAACTGTGTGCAGTTTATTGCATGTTAGTGATACAGCCAAAAAACAGATTTTTAAAAAACCATTAAGGTGTAGAGATCAAAACTGTAAAAAAGGAAATCTCTAGATATCCCACCCACGGCCCTAGTTTTCTCCTTCAGACCCTGCTGTTTAGTGTCTTATTTATCCTTCTAGAATGTTCCCACATGCACCAAACTGTTCTAAGGGAGCCCTGCTATAACCTCCTGTCCTCCCTTCTCCCCCCACCTAACGCCATGGGTCTCATCGACCTTCCCAATCACAGGCCCACGCATCCTTACAGACCTTCCGCCTGCGTTATTTTGGAGGCTTTGGCGGGGGCTGTTAGGTCCAGTCTGGTGTAAAAATAAGTTCTGGGACGGAAGGGAGGGTTGGGGCCGGCAGGCCTGGGGGTGGCCGTGGGGGCGGGTGTGGGGGCAGCGCCCGGTGGCCTCCGGGTCGAGGTGTTCTAATTCTCTCCTGTTTGCTCTAGTGGCAGTGCTGTGGGGCTTTTGGAGCTGATGATTGGAACCTAAATATTTACTTCAATTGCACAGATTCCAATGCAAGTCGGGAGAGGTGCGGCGTGCCATTCTCCTGCTGTACTAAAGACCCCGCGGTAAGTGAGGCAGCCCCGCGCCCCCTGCTCCCGCACCGTCCGGGCGGGTGGTATGTGGGCCAGGCAGAGTGGGGTTCTTCTGGGACCCTCTACCCACTTAGTCCTGACTGTGGCACCTGCACGGGGCCGTAGGGCTAGTTCCTCCCAGCAGGAGGGATCATCGCGGGCGGGCGCTCACTCACCAGGGCACTCCGGCTCCTGTTCTGAGCCCCTGTGTGCCTGGGCTCCTTTAAGCCCGGAACGTTCCTGCCGGCAGATACCAACATTACCTTCCCTTTTTAGGTGAAATCGAGGCCCCTGCATTTTAAGTCCCTACCCAAGCTCCATCGCCAGCGAGTGTTGGCGCTGAGCGTCAGCCCCAGGCAGCCTGCTGCTCCTTCTTTAAGGCTCCCCTGGGAGCTCTCAGCAGGTTGCGGTTAGTAACCCGCTTAGTTGTGGGGGACGCGTTGGAACGGAGGAGCCTGAGACAAGGATGCTCTGTGGGAAGACTGTAGCTGCCCAGACTCGTTCGTAGCCTGTCAGCCCCCAAGTGTGCACCCTCAGGGCTGCCCTTGCCCCCATCAAGCAGCTCCGAGTGGGCACCGATGAGTTCCTGGCCAGTTCCCCCTGGAAGGCAGAGGGTCTGCCACTCTTCACAAGGGGCGCGGCCTTGGGTGGGGAAGCAGAAGTTCCCTGCAGCTGCCCATGGCCCATGGCCCACAGTGGGGGTCAGCCTGGCTGTTACTCTTGGTCTGAAGAGACTGAGAATCAGGAAGGCCTGTGCTCGCTGCTCTGGGTCTCGCCGAGACAGCTGACCGTCCCCCTGGTTTGTTTTTCCCTTCCCTCTGAGGAGGTCCAAAGGCACTCACCCGGCAGAGCCCAGGGTGCCGCGCAGGCAGCCTTGCGCTGGCAGACAGGTGCCAGCGGCTCTGTCTCCGGTTCTGCCGTTTTAACACTCCCTCAGATGAACTCTGAGGCTCTCAGAAGGCATTATGTCTCCCTTTCGGCGACAGATCCTCTGGGTAGAGGTATCTCATTCCATAAACGCCAAGATAAGAAATTCCACCCACTCCCTGCAGAGGGGAAAAAAGAAGCAAGCCTAAAAGAGGGGAAGCCACATTTCCGATCAGGGCTGTTGGATGTCAGAACATGTGATATGTGACTAGAGTAAGGTGACCAGATGTCCCGCTTTTGGCAGAACAGTCCCGATTTTTAACAATTTGTCCTGCGTCCCGCGGCGTTTTAAAAAAGTCCCGATTTTTGGAAAGATTCTTTTAAATCTTTTAGAGTTTTTTTTTAAAACACCGCGGGACGTGGGACAAATTGTTAAAAATCAGGACTGTCCCGCCAAAAGCGGGATGTCTGGTCACCTTAGACTAGGATGTTGTTTTGTTTTTTATGAAGTTCTCATTGAAAACTCATTTAAATAATACAGAAATATACATATTCAAAAGTAGAAGTTTCCCCCTGCACCAAAGAGAGCAAATATGAAGCCAGTCATTGTGCCCATTCGGCATGTTTTTGTTTAAATATATTTTATTGATTTTTTTACAGGAAGGAAGGGAGAGGGATAGAGAGTTAGAAACATCAATGAGAGAAACATCCATCAGCTGCCTCCTGCACACCCCTTACTGGGGATGTACCCGCAATCAAGGTACACGCCCTTGACCGAAATCAAACCTGGGACCTTTCAGTCCGCAGGCCGACGCTCTATCCACTGAGCCAAACCGGTTAGGGCAAGCATGGTTTTTATCTGTCTCCAGCTCCCTGAACACTTTAAACATATCGAGGCTGCCAGCTCTGAAATCTGGACTTCCCATACAATGGTCTCGCTCTCCTTCCTGGTATTTCCAGAGCCTCTGTTTCCCTTGTTTGGAAAAGGGCATATTTTAATACCTGCTTCCAAGGATTGTTAAAATGATTACATGGGATAACATATCAAAGGGCTCGCCGAGGCGCGGTCCCGCTGCCTGCCCCAGTGCACATGTATTCCTCTGAGGGGGCCTCATCTGTTGATTCCTCCAGGGGCTTTCTGACCGGCATGACTATCGCTGTCCTCTCTTCTTCCCCCCAGGAGGATGTCATCAACACTCAGTGTGGCTACGATGCCAGGCAGAAACCAGTAAGTGGGACTTCACCTTGTCGCTTAGCGCCCAGGGTGTTGGAGGCGCTCCTGAACCTCCGTGGTGACCTGTGTTCTCCTCTTCCCTTGTGAAGGAGGTCGACCAGCAGATCGTAATCTACACGAAAGGCTGCGTGCCCCAGTTTGAGAAGTGGCTGCAGGACAATTTGACCATCGTGGCCGGTGTGTTCATAGGCATTGCGTTGCTGCAGGTAAGGCCCGGCTTCTTCCCGGACGGCACAGGGAGGCGATGCCCGGGAGAATCCTCACCAGGCCGGCACTCTGCCTGACCAGGTGAATGGTCCAGCATTTAAGACACAAGTGGTGGGGCTGGGAAACAGACCCAAATGATGTGGTTTTTTTATTAAAGCTCTGGTTTTAGATGCAACTCTATGCTAAAATACATTAGGAAACTGTGTTGTGTTTTTCCCTTTGAGATGGAGACATTGGTTGGGTCTGGGCGTTTCTTGGGCTCAATAATTCTGTGTGTGCCATCTGGGCAGACAGGAATGGTCAAAAGCAGATCCAAGGGGTGAGGTTAAGGTTTCTGTGGATTTTTACAAACATGCTGTCTCCGGCCCACCTTCCCAAAGTGCTAGTGAGGAACAGGAGTGCCCACTTCTTTGCCTGTGCAGTCCCGAGTGTGGCTTTTTCATCCCATGCAGATGGAGATGTGATACTTTCCTCGGAGCCCAAATGCGGTGCGGTGGTTGAAAGAAACAAAAGAAGATCTAAATAACGGAAAGCCTTCCCATACTCAGAGACTGAAAGGCTTCCTGTCACTAATGTGGCAGGACTCCTCAAATCCATCTACAGATTCAGTGCAATCTCTGAATTCAAATTGCATTTTTAATTTTTTCCCCCAAAATGGACACATTGATCCTAAAATTCATATGGAAATGCAAAGGACCCAGAATAGCAAAACAGAACGAAATTGGAGACTTACTTCAAAGGTGCAGTCATCAAGATGGTGCCTCCTGGCATAAGGTTGGCATATAGGTCAGTGGAATGGAATAGAAAGTCCAGAAGCAAACCCATACATCAATGGCCAACAGGTTTTTGACAAGGGAACCAAGACCGTTCACTGGGGCAAAAATAGTCTTTTCAATGAATGATGCCAGACCAACTGACTATCCATATGCAAATGAATAAATTTGAACTCCTACCTCACACCATACATGAAAATTCACTCAAACTCTGGACCAAAGACCACAATATAAGAGCTAAAACTATAACACTCTCAGGAGAAAGTACAGGTGTAGCTCTTTGCGACCCAGGAGTAGGTGGTTTTCATAGATGCCACACTACAAGCACAAGCAACCAAAGAAATAATAGATCCATTGGACTTGGCCAACATTAAAAACTTCTGTGCTATGAATTCTGAGAAAATGGAATGACAGCCCACAAAAACGGAAGAAGATATTTTGCAAAGCATTATATCTGATAAGGATCAAGTATCTGGACTATACCAAGAACAACTCAACAATTAAAAAGACAAACCCAATTTAAAGATGGGCAAAGAATTTGAATAGTCTCCAGAGGAGACACAAATAATAGCTAGTAAGCATGTGAATAGCTGCATGTTACCATTAATTGTTAGGGAAATTTGAATAAAAACCACAGTGAGATACCCACCACCTCACACTCAGCAGGATGGACGTACAGTTGACCCTTGAGCAGCATGGATTTCAGCCGTGTGGGTCCACTCATAAGCACTTTTTTTTTTCCAACTGACCACAGTTCAGTTGATCTATGGAGTTCACCTGACTTAGGTTGGGAATCTGAGTATGCAGAAAACTGACCAGTTAGGTGCGGATTTTCAACTGCTGGGATTACAGCACCCGTAACCCCCATGTTGTTCAGGGGTGGACTGTAATGATAAAGGAAAATAATAACGAGTTGTCGAGGATGTGAAGAAATTGGGAATCCTCACACATCATTGGAGGGAATGAAAATGATGCAGCCTCTACAGAAAACAATTTGCAATTCCTAAGAAAATTACAGTTATCATATGACCCCGAAATTCTATTCTGAGGGATGTACCCAAAGAGAATTAAAAACATGTATTCACCCAAAAACATTTATACAGATGTTCATAGTGATATTATTCATAAGAGCCCAAAAAAGGAAACACTGCAGATGCCCATCACCTGATGAGTGGAAAAACAAAATATGGGTTTATCCATATACTGGAATATCATCCAAACCATCAAAAGGAATAACTCCTGGAACATGCTACAACATGGGTGGACCTTGAATACCCTGTGCTGTGTGAAAGCGGACTGACACAAAAGGCCAGATGTTATATGATTCCATTTATATGAAATGTCCAGAAGGAGCAATTTCAAAGAAAACAAATTAGTGGCTGGCAGGACTGTGGAGGTGGGGGGCATGGGAATGACTGCTTATGGGTACAGTTTCTTTTTTGGGTGATGAAATGTGTTGCAAACAGATAGTGGTCATAGTTGCATATCCCTGTGAATACACTATAAACCACTGAATTATGCACTTTAAAAGAACGGGTTTTACAGTATATGAGTTACATCTCAATTTAAAAGATCAAAGATAAGAAAAATCGGATTCAGCCCACCAGCGTGGCTCAGTGGTTGAACATTGACCCATGGACCAGAAGGTTGAGATTTGATTCCCAGTCAGGGCATATGCCCAGGTTGTGGACTCGATCTCCAGTAGGGGGCGTGCAGGAGGCAGCTGATCAGTGATTCTCTCCCATCATTGATGTTTCTATTTTCCCTCTCCTCCCTTCCTCTGAAATCCATAAAATATATTTAAAAAAGAAAAAGGAAAAATAGGGTTCATTGGCCAAGGAAAAGCCTAATGATGTTCAGAGTTTCACTGTTTGACTCTTTCTCTTCCTTCCTCAGATCTTTGGGATATGCCTGGCCCAGAACCTGGTTAGCGACATCGAAGCAGTCAGGGCTAGCTGGTAGGGCAGGGCACCTGTCACCGCTGCAGAACACTGGACACCCAGCCTCCGCTCCCTCCAGCGGCTCGACCGTGTCCACACCGTTGGACCGTCCCCAGGGCCTCCTGCCATCCCACCTGACGGAGCTGCCGAGAACTTGTTTTGAGGGGGAAACTGAGAAATGCTGCTTACTGACAGAATTAAAGAAAAAATAACCAGTATGAAAGTCATTGCACCGTGAATCTCTACTGTAGCCATGAATTTATGGATGGTTGGATACTTAACCAAAAAAAAAGAAAAATAGGGAGGGCGGGGAACCCGTATGCACTTGGAGGTGTGGGGAAAGCCTTGTTGTCCTCGGGAGTGAACGGCGGGCTGGTGGCGGCAGCCTTCCCCTTCCTCACACCATGGCCTGAAGATGTGCATCTTTCCTAAAACCCAGCGCCTTCCCTGTGAGGGCTGGGCCATTGGACACTCCATGGGACACTCCCTTCGCTGGACACTCCAATGAGCTGTGACAGCTCGTGGCCCAAGGAGAAGACAGCTTGCCCGTGGGGTCACGTTTTGAGATGGCATTCAGCAAGTGACGTGCCCGGCCCATTGGGCCCCCTGACAAGAGAAGCTGTGTGTTCCGAGTGCACAGAGCAGGACCCCGGGAGCGCTCGGTGATGCCGGGTTGTAGCAGGACAGATCTTTTTTCTAGGTGAGCCTGCGCTTTATTTACCAGTGACATTCAGGAGAACATGAGGCTCATGACGAGGTGTTAGTTGAAGACACCCTCACCCCAGCCACTCACGTCGGTGTTGGATTCTTCAGAAACTCTGGGGCTTTGGCTTTTTTTTTTTTCTTCTTTCCCTTTTTTGTTTTGGTCTCCCCAAAAGCTGGCATTTCTGTTAAGGTTTAAAGTGTTTTCTTACAAACTTGAATATTAATTTTGTGTGTGTCATCTCCCCGCATGACCCGTGAATCTGAACCCACCAGTTTCCCTTCCCACCATCTCTCCGACATGTCTAGGTGTGGTGTGGGCAGCACTGGGTGGGGGGAGGTGTGGCGAGGGCTCCTGGCTGGGAAGGACCCGCTGGGCCCACACAGATGCATCCATGGACTCCACCCCTCAGCCATATGGGTCATCGCCGTGGTCTCTGCTGCATCCTGCCCCGCTCTCTCCTGGGATGGGAGTAAACCCCTTTCCAAAACAACATTGACACAATCAAAAAACTTCTAGTGGGGTTTTCCCCTCATCTGGTTTTAGTTTTACTCTTTTTTTTTTTTTTAAAGGGAAGCGTGCATGGGCAGAGCTCTTTCTGTTCTCATAGCGCAGATTAACCATCAGGATGGCCACAAAGCACAAATACTCCGAGGGGGACGTTGACGGGCAGGTTTTCTGAGTCTCAGGTGGAAAACCACCTCCAGGTGCTGCCACCCACCTCTGGCCTGCCTCCAGGGGGGAGGGACCCATTTTTGCCCCCAGATTTTAATCCAGCCTCATCTGCCAGGATATCACTCTCCTGGGGGAGCAGGTATCAGTCTGTGGAATGCTGGGGAAAGAAACACAGGTGTGTTTCACGGCGATGACACATTTGCCAATGCGTGGCCGGGCGCCGGCGAGCACATTTGCTGAAGCTTGAGCAAGGCTTTCCGCTTCCGCCCCTGGGGCAGCCCTGCGGCCGGTGGGCGTGTCGGTCTGGACTGAGAAAGGACAGCAGTTCTCTGAGAAACACCTGGTCTCTGGGGTTTGGGTGTGTCTGATCTGCATGTGCGTGTGTGTGTCTGTATCGTTAGCGATGTCCATCCCATGCTCCAGCTGTAAGATGATTTTATCCCGCCTCGCCCCCACCACGCTGTCCTCCTGTGATGTCCTTCCCACACGGAGGCTCGGCTCCCGGCCGGCGCGCTTGTCCTTCCTGTCCATTACCTCATCCTCCAGAGAACCCCCTCTGACCAGCTGACTCAGAACCGGGCGAGGGGCCCACCCTTCGGCACATCCAGCGAAAGGCCAAACGGAAGTCCAAGTGAGTTTTAAAATTTTAACGAAGCGCCCTTTATTTTTTACACTTGAGAGTGGTTGTAATAAAGGCTGTCATTAATAAACTTGGTTCTACCTTACACGGAGTTATGTCTGTCTTCGTTGCTTCGCTCTTGAAATTGCAACAGTCTCGAACGCAGCGATCCCCAAACTTCAGCAGCCAGGGTCAGGATCCCCGGACAGCTTGTTGAAACACAGGTGACTGTGCCTACCCCGTTCCCAGAATTTCTGACTCAGTGCTTCTGAGGAGGTGCTGTCCTGACTGGTTCGAGGGTGATGGTTTGCTGGTGACGCTGTTGTCGTGCATTTTCAATCACAATTAGAAAATCCCCGCCCGGGGCCGGTTCCCTCAGGCGAAGAGACAGGGAACGTGTTGTGATGGGGAGGGAAAGGTCTCGGTGCTATGGGCTGCCATGGGCGGAGCAGGATGTGTAGGAAATCTCTGTTCCTAAGGCCATTGCTGGTCCCAGTCTCCCAGAGACCATGTGAGATGCAGATCCTGTCAGGCCTTGCCCCCAGCAGTTCTGTGGTGGGGAAGCCAGAGCCTATATATATTGTATTTTTCTTTCTTTTTATTTTTATAGAATCTATATTTTTAAGAAAGTCCCATTGAAAATGTAATGCACAGTGAGAATTAGGACGCGCGTGGGCCTAGGTAAATCTTGATAATATCCACAACCTTTTTCTAAGAAAATAATTTCTAGTCGTCTCTTAGAGCAGGAATCTTAGCCGGTTGGAGAAATGCTGACAACTTTTATTTTGAATTATCACTGCAGAAGGAGACGCCTGTCTTTAGAGCGGTCAGGGGTTTTCTTCAAAGATTAAATGAAAACAAAATTTTAAGGTTCTCGCACAGTATTTTCAGACCCTGACACTGTGCCAAGACTGGTTTGGGAAATGTTTTGCCACAGACTTCTGGGTACTTGAGAGCACAAATGTTGTTTTGACTTTAGGGGAGTGTATCCGTGGTAATGGGAGGTCACCAATCCCGATTTCTTGAGTTTTCTTAGCTGTGCTGGAGAGATCTCGTATGTATGGGAGGCCGTTTGTCCTCCTTGCTTCTCAGTAAACTCTAGGCCCAGAAAGGAGAAATATTACAGTTCAGAAGTAAAGGGATTCAGCCTGGCTGGTGTGGCTCCGTGTTTGAGCATCGACCTATGAACCAGGAGGTCATGGTTCGATTCCCAGTCAGGGCATATGCCCCAGTTGCGGGCTCAATCCCCTGTATGTGGTGTGCAGGAGGCAGCCGGTCAGTGATTCTCTCCTCATTGATGTTTCTGTCTCTTCCTCTCTAAAATCAATAAAAATATATTTTGAACAAAAGAACTAAAGGGATGCTTTGTCTCCGAAACTCAGAACTTATAGGAAATCTCCTCTGTGCAGGCAGGCTTGGAGGAGGATTATTCTGTTTCTGTCTCTGTTGTTTGAACCGTTACCACAAACGTCTGCGTCCGTGATTTAAAAATATCTAATAGTGTTTTTAAAAATGAACACAGGGATTAAAAAGTAGAATTTTGCATCATAAGACACTTGTAAATAAAAGATGTGTTTTCTCTCTACCCAGGAATTAACCTCTAACTGTGTTTCTGCTTTCTTCCTGCCGCAGGCCCCTCCTTCTCTCGGGGGTTCTGAGAAGTGTCTCTGGGCTCTTTCTTATTTTGCACACCATGCCCCATGTAGCGTTCTCAAATTGTGATTTCAAAATGCATGGCTCTGCAGAGTTTCTGGAGCTCCTCTCAGGGCTGCTCCTGGCCGCTGGAGCCCTGGCAAGCAGCTAGACAGGAGGAGCCAGAGCCGGGGACCTGACTGGCCATCTGGCTCTCTTGGTCCTTGTTTCCATGAAGCCCCGTGACTCTGGGGAACCCCTGTTCCGACTCCGGGAGGAGGGGGAAGGTCTCCAGGAGCGCAGGCCAGCTTCCCCTCGAGGCTCTGGGGCTGCTTCCAGGTGTTGCATCCTGTCTCAGGATGGGAAGCCTGGTCTTGGAGCGAGAAGGGGGGTGAGAAGGAGGATGTAGGGTTTGCCTGGAAGTAGGGCCCCACTAGGCCTCTTCGTGGTGACATGATAAAACCTACAGGAATCTGTAGGTGACAGCAGACGGGGCATAGGTACCTGGGTGGGCTAGGGCGCAGAGAAGAGAAGCCGAACTCCGAGGAGAAGGACAAATCCATCTTCAGGCTGACGTGAGCCTTTCTTTTTGGGAGAGTTTGTGATGAAGTCAAGTTGACCAGGTTGCAGCTTTGAGGACTTCTTTGATTGGAGGGATTAAAGACGCTTCCTTTGGCCTGTTCCTGCTGAGGAGTTCTCCCTCAGCGGGGGACCCTGAGAGGATGCCTGGGTTAGCCCACCCCTGGGATCCATGGGCCCAAAGCAAACGCCTCAGGCCCTGCACGGCTGGTGCAGCTGATGACTGCTGCCAGGAATCCTGTGGGAAGAGGGGTGAGCTCCTGGGCTTTAAATTTCGTTCACAAAGCGGGACACAGCAGTGTGCACACAGGAGAGCACTTCTCAGGTTGTTGCCCTGTATTTAGTGTGGAGTTGCGTCATACGTGGGAGAAAGACAACCTTTTAAATCGGGAGTTTATCATGCCTTCGATTTTGCTTTTGCAGAACTGGTTAGAACAGGAACGTTTTAAAGGCCCGCCCTCTAGTGGTGATCCCGTGGAATGCCGGGCGAGGTGGGAGCTCTGCGGCAGGGCTGACACAGGTCCCTTGAGAGGTGCTCACACTTCGCAGGAACTTGAAGGCTAAATAGCTGGGCCTTGAGTCCCTTTACACACTCCTGAGAGTGGCCCGGTCTGCCTTAGGTAGGGAGCGGGCCGTTTAACCCCCTTCACCTCCTCATCCTGACCTCGCTGCTAGGACTTTAAAGGGCACGGCCCTCCAGCCGAGACGCAACATTTATGGAAGAGGCAGGGATGTTCTAAAACAGCTCATTTGCCAGGTAGATAATTCTCTGGAAACAATGCATTGAACATTCCACCTAGTTCCTCTCAAAGCACCCGTGCCAATCATCCAGAGTTTGCTTCTCTCTGAGGAGTTGCAATCTTGGTTGTGACGGTGGTGAGGATGGGTAGGGTGTTGGGCTCGTCCGGATCACTGACTATAACTCGTGTTTTAGGAGGTTGGTGTGGGTGGGATTGCATCTTCCAAAAGTCTACATGTTGAAATCCTAACCCGGATGCCTCAGAATGTGACTGTATTTGGAAACAGGGCTGCTGCACATGAAATTGGGTAAGATGAAGAGATATCCAGTCTAGGCAGCATTCCTGTAAAAAGGGAAACTGGGCTCAGAGGCACACCCAGGGAGGTCGCCAGGTGAACACACAGGCAGAGATTGAGGGGTTTGCCCGCAAGCAATGGGCCACTAAGGTTACCAGCGAGCCGTGGAGCCTGTTCTGCCTCGGCCTGCGAGAGCCAGCCCTGCTGACACCTGGACTTTGGCCTTCACCCTCCTGACTGTGAGACAATCCACGCCTGTGGTTTCAGCCTCCCTCCCGCTCTGTGGTACCGCTGTGGCATCCGAGGAAGTCGAGACAGGGTTTGGTGCCCTGGTGCAAAATTTCAGGCTGGAAATGGGAGGGCTGCTCAGAGCTGCTTTATCACTAGAAGGATACTGAGTGTGCTTGTGCTCCTTATTATCCGAATGGGTGCAGCGTGGGGTGCATTCTACTTCTGCCCTAAGCTCCTGGAAACAATCTTCACACCTTTTGTGGGACATTTTAAAAACAAGCAGTGCTTTGTTCCATCCAATGTAATATGGCGGTGCTGTAGGCTGTGTTTATTGGGACTCAGTGGTCTTAAATGCAAGTTGCTGGAGTGATTAAAGTGTAATAAATAAAAGAGCTAATTTCCCAGGATGAGTATCGGGTCTAGTAATAATTAATGTCATTTTTAAACATTCGTTTAAAATCTTGCCTGGCATTGACTTGTATTGACATAACCTTCAAACACGTGGTATCTACAGAACGTGTGAAGTGCAATTAACAAGTTTTGCTTGAAAAACTTTGTGTTTGGTTTGGTTTTTGTTGCAAAACTAGGGCTAAGAAGATGGCGGGTGAAGAGCATATTCGGCACTGCATGCTTTACGAGTTCCAATTAGGAAGAAAAGCAAGTGAGGCTGCAAAAAACATCTGTAGTGCTCTTGGTCAAGATGCAGTTAGCGCCAGAAAATGCCAGCGTTGGTTTGAGAAATTTCGCGAGGGAAATTTTTCGTTAGATGCCAAGAGTGGTCGAGGCCGTGTGTCCAATTTTGATCAAGAAGCTCTTCAAGCTCTTTTGGTGCAAAATCCTCAAATTACCCAACAAGAGCTTGCGACAACTTTAAATTGTTCACAAAAAACAATTTCCAATCAATTGCGTGCACTTGGCAAAGTCCAAAAATTTGGAAAATGGGTTCCTCATGAGTTGACCGACAACAACCATAACCAAAGAGTCACAATTTGCAGTTTGCTCCTCTCTCGTCAAAACCGTTTGCCGTTTTTAGAGCAAATTGTTACCGGAGATGAAGAATGAGTGTTGTATGTTAATTTGAAAAGGCAGCCTCAATGGTTGGACAAAAATGAGGCTCCGCAGCCCACGCCAAAACCTGACTTGCATGCAAAAAAAGTGATGTGTGTTTGGTGGAATTTTAAAGGAATTCTTCATTATGAACTTTTACCATCTAACCAAACCATTCCAAGTGCAGTGTATAGTGCCCAATTGGAAAGGTTAGCCCAAGCTTTAAGAGAAAAAGAACCCACGCTGATATCAGAAGGGCGTAATTCTTCACCACGATAACGCACGACCGCATACTGCAAGAATCACTGCTGAAAAACTGCACCAGTTGGAATGGGAAGTTCTCCCTCAACCTGCATATTCTCCTGATATTGCCCCTTCCGATTACCATTTGTTTCGTTCTTTGCAAAACTTTCTTCTTGGAAAAAAATTTAATAATGAAGAATGCCTCAAAAATGCATTGACCGAATTTTTTGCATCAAAATCACAAGAATTTTACAACAGAGAGATTAAAATGCTTCCTGAGCGTTGGGCACAAGTAGTAGAAAACAACGGCCACTATATTGTTGATTAAATTTTGTTGT